GTCGTGGACCGAGGTCGCGCCTCCACTCAGTGGGTGACCCGGGGCCTTTCCCGTGTGGTCACAAAGCTTGCGGTGTTCACTTCCGTCCGATATTCCATCTGCCGAGTCCCTCGGTTTATTTAAATCCCGCCTTTAAGCATTTGCTTAATTAAAGGCCTTTTCTCCGTGTACATTTTATGCGTTTTGGGGGTGTGGGGGTATTTGTATCCGTGGTTAAATCATGAGCCTACGTGCTTATATTAGGTTTTAGAATTGCTTGAGTTATTTACTTATTTGCTTTAAGCTCTGCGCAGCGCCTTGCGACCTCTGGGTGAAACGCGCTTTGTAAGTGTCAATTATTATTATTCCAGCCAACAAGGCGACACCAGGGGTGGCGCAGTGAGCACCACGCCCGACCGCCTTTGCCTCCTGAGTGTTTACGCAGCCCATCAAGGTGTCCATTTAAAGACTCAGTTGCCCGAGAGAAGGTCCAGGACAGGTTGAGATATCAGAACAGGATTGCATATAGGGAAGATGTAGTCGCATTTGCCAAATCCTCATACGCAATAAAAATTGATTGGAGTGAAAATAAAACTTCACCAAAGCCTAAAGACGTTTTACTTGAAGGTTCGAATTGGCTATATTTACCACACGCTTAAGACCGCAAATAGGAGATAAGCGAAACGACTATGGGACGTTCTAGGTCTTTAGACTCAGTATTTGCTGCTTAAAATAATAAATCCTGCACCACTGCCTCACCCATTTACCTTTGTTATAAAAGGCCATGCTGACATATGGTCGAGTCGCGTGACAATGAAGAACGGCACACCAATGTGCCCGAAAAATAAAGTTTTCAATCTGTGCATAGTCAGCTCTGATGAATATCGATCGACACATCCATACATCACACTCGAGAGCAGTGGCTCTTAACCTTTACGACGGACTTGCAACCCTTTCGTTCTCAATCGTAAACAAAAATATATACAACGTTAACAAATACAAATATTTGATGAAACAAAGTAGTTGTGTTTACGTGCCCGTGCTTATTTGTGCTTCGATGATTTATTTTAAAATAAAAAATCTGGCCATGTCTCGCACCCCCAGAAAGGGCATCACGCACACCAGTGGGGTGAGTGCACCCCAGGTGTAAGAACCACTGCTCTAGAGTGACCATCTCGGTAACGTGCTGTCCTCCACCCTGCACACGTGTCCCGCCAAATCACAGCCTCCTCTGCCTCATTCCACGTTCTATTCTGAACCTAAACGGTGCTTGCCAAGAGCGGCCAATGATATTCCTGGCGTCGTCCGCACGAGTACACGCAAAACCCTTCTTCTCAATCGACTGCTGGACGAGTGCCTCTCAAACGCCCTGCCAGTTGTGGGGGTCATTTTTTTTTGCCATACTTCACCGCGGTAGTCAGTATGGCGAGGTGGTGCATTGAGACGTGGAAGGATGTTGGTAGAGAACAAGATTTTGCTGGCCTGCCCATCACGACTGCCCATCACGAGATCGGGCTAAAGCCCACTTAGCCTTCCAAGATTCGAGATCTGGCGGTGGCGAGATGTTAAATACCTCGCCTGGTATGCAGGAGGTCGTCGGTTCGATTTCGACCCTGACGCCTGCTGTATATTTGGAGTTTGCGTGTCCCTTTCCCCGTGGTCACGTGGATTTTTCTCTGGGTCCTCCGGGTTTTCCCCTCCACATTTAGGAGCAACAACACGCGTTCAGAGTATTTGGCTGCTACAAATTTCCACGTGATAAGCCACTTCGCTGAGCTATCATTCGTGGCTAGGTCGCTTATGAAGAAAATATCTATAGAGCTCAGTGGGCCTTAGCTGGTAAGATAAAAAGTTCAGTAGTTTAATTCAGTAATTCCGGACATTTGTGTGATGTTTCTCCTCCCGCACAAACTATCAAATGCCGGTCCTCTCTTGCTATGGAATGACCGTGCAGTACCGATGCACGGGTCTAAAGTTCTAAATCCTAAAAAAAAATTCTGGCGAAGACAAACACCCCCCCCCCCCCCCCCCCACACACCTCTATCCTTCTGTTGTTTTTACGCAATGGAGGCAATCTGCAGGAGACATCGCCGGCTTCAAAAGAGGCCCTTTTAGAACCCACAGCAATGCGTCAAACCCGACCTGCCGTAACTCAGGCACCGCAGTTCCCTTTCATCAAACCGCGCTACACATTCACACAAAACTCCCTGTTGGTTTTGGTGTATTACTATCGTACTGATATTCTGCCTGCCCCCAGCCTTTGTGTTGCATTTACTTTTCGGATTAGTAAAGATTTCTGAAGAGACAATAATATGCACGGGCACACAAAGACAAAACAATCTCTACAACTTTCATCTTTACCAACTGATGGGACACTTGAACCTCATAGTGGTACCCCGGGGTACCATAGTACCCCCGGCTCTCGCATAATGTCCGTGATGCAGTCACTTTTAGTCTGTTGATGGTCGGCGATACGGCAATCGACTCATCTCGACGAGCTGTACACTACGATGCACCACCACTACGGTGTGTACCGCGAGCGTTCAGGGTTATGGCGCAATCGTCCTGGCCGCGTTTCGACATCGCGGAGTGTGGCACTGATGTCGGATTGTTTGTTACCCCAGTCGCGGAGTTAAGTACAACCCTGCGAAAAAAAATAGTGTCCCAGAAATAATGTTTATTTAATTTTTCAGGCTACAGTCTACATTATAGACTGCTAGTACACTCACCCAGCTTAATAAACATTGCTACAGTCTACATTATAGACTGCCAGTACTCACCAAACTGAATAACCAGGCTACAGCCTACATTATAGACTACTAGTACACTCACTCCGATTAAGAACTAGGCTACAGTCTACATTATAGACTGCCAGTACACTCACTCCGATTAAGAACCAGGCTACAGTATTATTTACAAAAAAATGTAAAACAATTTTATTCACTTTATTTTTTATTATAATTTTTCTATCTACGTGACTTTACCGAAAGAACCAAACAATATGCCTAGGCCATTCTGTATTATTTGGTACCCCGGGGTACCGCCAATAAGGATCAAGTGCTGCTAGCGATCACCTATTATTATAAAGGCTGTATGCGTCGTGGTACAGCGGTCGACACACTTTGCTACGATCCTGCAGGAGGCTCGGGTTAGATTCGGGGCGATGTGTGCCACGTGGTAAAATTAACCATGTCACCTGCCCCGTCTTCATCGACTCAAGCCTCAAATTGAGCGCCTGGTTGTTGTGCGTAACCATCGCCACCCACACCCTCGTGGGCCATGTCGACCTTCGTCGGGTGCTCGCTAAAACAAAAGGGGGGGTGGGATCCTTGTCCTCGTATGCACCCGAGAAAGTCAGATGCGCGTACCGTTGTGTGAAAACGTCTCCACGTATACCGGGTAAATTGCGCGTGGAAATACCACGACGCATACGAGTGTGTCGGTGTGTGGGTCTGCAAGTCCGCGTGTGCAGCGATGGGATGTATCAGCATACTGCGCGGCCGTCATATCGGCACAATGACAACAGCAGGGCTTCATAAACAAAGCTCAATAGCTCTCTCCATCAAGGGGACGCAAAGCGCGAGAGACAGGTAGCCACTGAGGAGCTCCCACTGCCAGGAGCGCTAACGCGTTTACACGATATGAGAAGCCGAATATGAAGCCAGATGAGCGATATTAGCGAGTGTCACCTCCGCTCGACAGTTTTTTTTGTTCCCCCCACAGCCCTTCCGATGCGATCTGCCTCAACAGCGAGACACCGGGGGATGAAGGGCGCAAGTGCTGTTAGCGAGCACCTATTATGGTCGCTGGGTGTTCGACTCGGCGGTCGAGCGGGCTCGCGAGCGGAAGGTTGCGAGCTCAAATATCTGGTTGGGGGTCAACTCGCCCATCGTCCATCCGGGGGGGGGGGGGGGGGGATCACACGAACAGCCGCAGCCGCTCTGTCGGGGAAGCCAACGGCGATTGGGGCCTGTGGACACGACTCGCTTCAACAGTCGGAATGTGGAATTTCCAGCAGCATCGGGCTCAGGACAAAAAACACGTGTGACCGTCTCTTATCTACGCGAGTGTTCACGACGATGATCATCATCATCACAGCGTCCCAGCAATGCGAACCGACTCATCAGAGGGAACCGAGTGTCGTCTTCTCAGCACCGTCCGTGTCCTCCGCTTCCCGTCTGCCGCACGCGATGGACGCATTTAGGAATTGGTCACACATCTCGATTCTGACGAGAAGGGCTTGACGTCCCACCTCCGCCTCCCTTCTTCCCTCCTCTCATCCACCTCGTCAGCTCGCACCTACCTGCTAGAGCTGAACGATCAATCGATTTCAAATGGAAAACGCAATTTGAAACAATGCGATTAGCAAATCGCAAAGGCAGTGATTTTAAGTCCTATTACTTTATTGGAATTGTTTTATTTTGTATTATTATAATTTTATTTATTTTACTGAACAATTGTTCTATGTTTGATTGCCCTATTTCAAGTAAAACATTTTAATAAACACATGTTGGAAGTAATTAATATCTTTTAAGTTCTCATCCTTGCATTAGACTACATAGAGCAGTTAATATTTTAATGGTATCACGTGGTAATGCTCCATCACGTGTTTTAAATCTATTACACAGTGAATATTGAACTGAAGCTTGACTTTAAAAAAAATGTAAGCGCAAATTGCAATATCTGCCAGAAAAATCGCAAAGAGATATTTTCCCCAAATCGTTCAGCCGGACTGCCTGCCACCCCTCCCCTCCTCCTGTTTACATCGCCTGGGAGACACACGCGGGCCCACAGGGGCCGTAGGTGGACCGCACTGACCGCGCTGCCCAATGTCTTGAGAATCTTGAAGGATTGTTCCTTCGTAGACTACGTATCCTTGGTTATAGTTTCTGTTCGAACCATCGAATATGGCAAAAGACTAGAATTGGGGTTGTTTAAAGATGTTTAGGGATAATACAAAAGTATAAAAAAGCAGTTTTTACAATACATCCACCTTCAATAAAACAGCAGTATAGGTCACATTTTACATACAAAACGCATTTAATTTCTATTTACATTCGCTAAAACGTTAGTTTTTTTTGCAAAAATAACACGTTTGCACTTTACTTAAATGTGTCATTTTGAGTCCATTTCCTTGCGTGTATTAGGGGCAGATGTCACTTGTTTCTATGCAACGGAAAGTTCTCTGTCCATGTGTCCATCAGTCTACAAAGACAAGTTACGTGTTTACACAACCACAAAAAAACTAACCACCACACAGCTGTCCACCACCACCACCCACAGCTGTAGAGCGTTTGGGCAAAACTGGGACAAAAAGTTGCTCCTGGGAATGTTTTTGTGGTTCTGTTGTACGGCTCCCAGGTGCGTATTCGGGTTGTACCATGCGTTGTTCGCAGCCATGTCCGACGTTCCGTTCATCGCCATCAAGAACCGGCAACACCATCAACAGCAGGCAACGCAAACTAACCGAGTGAGAAAGTGAGCCACTTTATTCGGATTCCTCAAGAAGCCCCCACAACACGTGGAGCAAAACGTCGGTCATCGTGCCGAACAGCACGTGGTACAACTGAACTAATCGGAACAGCCATGAAAACGCTTTACAAAAACATAAGATACGCGCAGCGTGTCAGCTCACGCGTAACGCACGTCTCCCTCGACACACATTTCCTGTACAGCAGATTCCCCTCGCACATGGGAGGCTCCCCACACAAACTGGCTTGCCAGCTTGTTTTTAATCACAGAACCCTGCTCCATTTACTCAATTCATATTTATTAAAACAAATTAAAACGTTTCCCCCCCCCCACCCCCCATTTGCAATAAAAATGGGATGCAACGGGAGGCACAATGTGTTTTTTTGTACAAATCTGTATGTAGAGTGATGCGGGTGACGCTATGCGGTCATGCGCGACGCTATGCGATGGTGCCTGTGATGTTGTGGTGCTGCAAATCTTTCCATGTTTACCGAGCACAACATTCGGGGGGGGCCCAACTCTCGTCCTCACTTTTCCACGGAGAAAATGTTGCCACCAACACTTTCCGTCACGTTTATTTTCCCGGATTCTTGTCGACTTGGCCCACTCTCCACCAGCAGTTAAATTTGAGTTACCACCAAGTTTCTCAAATCCCCTTGCCTCTTTCCACCCGGCAGTATAAATGGATAGGGCACAGTGAGTTGATTGCTAGGTCACGTGTGGCGGGTACTCTGGACTCCTCCAAAACATCTTCCAATGTGGTAAAGTAGGCCAAAAACCTCGAGAGGAGGCCCCTTCGGTCAGCAGTGGCCTGAACATGCAATTGCCTGAACATGCAATTGCGTGACTAAGAAATGAACAAGGCTGTGCTGCGATTCTCCACAACACCGTTTTGCACGAGTTAATAAATTAAGTAACAATTCACGGGAAATGGTCAAGACTTTTGGACATGGTACACGTACGTGATCGTGCGTGGATGAGTCAAGTAATTAAATTCGACTCGCAGATGTTTATGGTTTGACACCACTCTTGATTCTAGTCTTGTAGCACAACAGACCCCATACATTGACACCACACTACACGTTGCTTTTGGCGTTTAGTTTGTCCTTGTCCTGCACCTCCAATTAGCACGGTTGGCTACGTACGGTTAGACAAAATGTCAACGTACACACATGGGAACAATCCAGGCCTCAACGAGGCCACGTGGATTCGCTGTAACTGGGCAGTGTGGCTGCCTTACTTCACAGGGAGCTGTGCACTCTCACTCAGGCCCAACCTCGGAACTCGGAACAACGTTTGTGACGTCACAAGGGCTACGCGGAAGAGCAATGCCGTCGATGACGTCGCTCGCCGCGAAGGTCAAACCCCATGGTGGCGCTATTGCTTGAAAAAAAAACCAGCAGAAAATTAGGATGTTACACTATTGTTTGGAACAAGCATACGCTGAGCCAAGCGTACATTAACACCGAATAGGAATATTACGATCGCTTCCCTGCAACCGCAGAGAGGAGGCAGTGGGGACAAAGTAGGAGGGGCCAGAGTCCAGGAAGGGCCCAGTACCAGTGGCGCAGCCTTGGATTCCCCATTCAATTCCTTGCGCCTGGGACCATGCCAACCACGCTACACCACTGCCCAGTAAAACTTTTGTCGTGGAAACGGAGCACGAGAGTACGGGTGAGAAGATGGGCACAGGCTGCCAAAGCACGAGTGTGGAATCCCGCGCGCAGGTTGCGAGCGAGCTCACGAGAGAGTACGCACAATGTGGGCACCCGCATCAAGAAAGCACGACGCATCCCAAACTTGTGCCCGGTGCCAATAAAGTTATTCAAATGTCGCATGGCACACACACACACACACCCACACGCAGCTATCAGGATTGTAAGTCGCACCCCCCCGACCTTTCCTTGAAATCACAGGGAACAAACGTGCGTCTCAGCGGTCCAGAGACCAAGGGTTTGCCCCGTGCGTTAGTTGTGCGGCGCGTGCGAAGGTGAGCGGGAGAGAAAGCGGGGGCCCCGTCGCGGCTCTCAGAAGAGAGCGCTGCGGGTGTATCCCAGCACGCACAGCGTGTGCAGCATCAGGTGCTGCACCTCGGCCCAGGTGTCCTCGTGAGCGGCGCTCACCTGCGCCAGCTCGCCCACCACCTCCTCGTGCTCGCTCAGCTCGCGCAGGTGCAGCTGTTGCACGCGGGGGGGAGAGGGGGAAGAATTTGAGCGACGCAAAGGTTGAAGATTTATGCAAACGAGGATGCATATTAGTTGCCAGTACGTTAAGGCGGACGGATCTAACGGAACTGTACAACTGTGACAGAACACGCGAGTAAGGTGCTAATTTTATTTACGTACAAAAACCCTACTCTTGAGTGAAATCACAATCCTAAAGCATTGATTGGATGCAAGGGTGGATTTAACATTTACACGATCCTCAACTTTGTTCCCATAACCCTGTATCCTCGATGACCCCGCGAGTCCACGACCCTGCACCCTGATGACCCCGCGAGACCTATGACCCGTACCACGATGACCCTAGAGGCCCGCACCTTGAGGAAGAGCGCGAGCTGGGCCTGCAGCAGCTGGAAGTTCCCACGGGAGCGGAGACCGTGCAGGGCTGATCGCAGAAAGGCGGCGAGCAGCACCGGGGACCCCCCCCACGCGGGGCCCAGCGCCCGCAGCTCCGACTCGACCGTGCCGGGGGCCAGGGACGACAGCTCACGAAGGGGCCCCGAGACTACGGGGGGTGAGGAGGGGCACGCGGACGAGGCAGGGGGGGGGGGGGGGGGGGCGCGTGGACGAGGGGGGTACACAGGGATGAGGACAATGGAGAGGAGGACACGGGGAATAGGATGCATCATGAAACTGTAGCGTCATCCCGAATCGTGGTAGGTGGTTAAATTGTTACGCGCCCTACGGCTGCGTCCGATGGCAATGTGAGCGAGGGTTCTCGCGTTTGTGTACCCCCCCCAACTCCCCGTGCCCTCACAGTCGTTCGACTCCCACGCCTCCTCGAGGCTTCGGCTGAATTCCGACTTGGGATTCAAGTGACCCAGCTGCACTACCTTGGTCGCGGCCTGCAGGCACACACACAAACACACAGGCGTGTAACGGCACAAAAGCACACACACACACACACACGCAAAACATACATTTGGTATTTGCGCCTTTCTTATTGCACAAAGGGCCATTCTATCAAAAATGGCGCTAAGGTTATGCTTTGTAAGCTTTTTCAGATTCCATATTTTAAAGTCCGTCAAGTTTTTTCAAAGCTGTCTGTATGGAGCAGGAGTCGGCAACCTGTGGCTCTGGAGCCGGCTGCGGCCCATTAAGAACTGTGTCGTGACGTTGCTTAGGAAGGACCACCATCTCGTATTCACCACACAGTGCATTGCGGCTCTTGAGATGTTGGGGGTGGTGGGAGGGAGGGGGGGGTTACTAAATTCGACAAAAATGTACCTTGTTGTTTTGGTTGCCGACCCCCGGTATAGAGAGTATTGGAGCAAGTGCTATTAGCAAGCGCTTATTAAGGTTAGGACAGTGTGCCTGGGGGTGGGGGCATGGCCAGCATCACGCTCGGCCGCCTTTGTCTCTCCAAGAAAGTATGTTTACACATTGCACCAGGTACTCATTTAAAGTCGAGTCAAGCTCGCGGATGCTCAGAACCCATTGGTCGCCGGGTTCAAAGCATAGCGTGCTGACCACTACGCCACCTCTCCTCCGCACAAAGACAAAGATGCCCTGTATAGCCTTTTACAGACTTTCGGGGAAGCGCTGTTAGCGAGTAGCACTTACGAAGGTTGGCACGGCAAACGAGGGGGGTGGGGGTAGCCAACACCACCGCCTGACCTCCTTCGTCTCCCGAGGGGCAACGTTTACACACTGTACCAGGTACTCATTTGAGGCTGAGGTGGACTTAGGGGAGGCCCAGGACCAGTTCAGGTAATCATCACACGAGACGCCCGCACAAAAAAAACAACACACGCAAAGACTTGCCTGCGAGTCCGCGATGGCCGGGGCACAGAAGGCCGGTGTCAGCCCTGGAGTGGTCGGCAGGAAAAATGGAGCCTTTTCTGGGGCACGGGGAGGCTCCTTGGGCTTATTCCGCTTCTGTAAAGAAGAGGCGACCAAAGGTCAAACACTCACAGTGACTTCACTCCAACAGGCATCTCTTTCCAACGGGAACCGACGGTCAACTCGAACAAAATGTGCTAATGACGGCAATGTCGAGTCGTCGTTTAATTAAAAAGGTATTTTTTTTGTGTGTATCTCCTCAATGCTGGTTTCATTCTAAAGGTAGGGTATAACAATCCGCTTCTAGATTACAGTGCTGGACAGGAAACACACAGAGGCGTGTGTGAGCGGGTGCGTGCCTAAGATATTTCCGCGCGTATGCGTCGCACGCAAGTGTGCGCGTCATTCCAAACAATTAGGCCATTGTGCGCCTGGGTACACGGTCCAAATTTTGACCAAAATTCTAAATATTACCTGCAAATTACTCAATTGGGATAACACGTAGCAATGGGAGCGCTACTGGCAGACTAATTCCCCACTCGCAAGCCGGGTGGCGAACCACCTTGTGTGGGGGGGGGGTGTCATTTCAAATGCGATGAGATGAGACGTGAGAAAAGCAGCTAATCGCGTGAAAGGTTTCTCCGAGACGCTACCTCGGCGTAAAGGAGAGTGGGCTCCCATCAAAAAAACAAATCATTCTCAACTACGCGTGTGAGCATGCTTGAGTGCGTGCGTTTTGTGTGCGCGTGTGGAACAAACGCCGCAGTGACGTCACCGCCACTTAGTGGTGTTGTTGTTTGTGCGAGTGGTGCTGGCCACCCACCACCCCCCCCACGTGTGCCACCGTGGCGGCCTTCATTGAGGTGCTACGGAGCTAACAGCGCTTGCCCCCCAATGGGGGGGGGGGATCTTTGTTGTCGTGTCGTCGTTGCGTGCGTGCGTGCGTGCGCGAGCCCTTGCCCTGATGACGTCCAGGCTGAGGAGGTTCTTCCAGCGGCTCTCGGGCACGGACGAGAGGGTAACGAGCGACTCGGAGAGCTGCTCGGGGGAGTGGAACTCCGACACCATCGCCTCGTCGCCCCCGTCGTCGCCAAAGACCTCGTCTTCTCGCACCGCGACGTCACCACCTACGTCCGCCCGGGTGGAGGCAACCGCGGTGGTGAGATGTTAAGCTACCTCGCCTGGTATGCAGGGGGGTCGTGGGTTTGATCTCGACCCCGATGCCTCTTGTGTATTTGGAGTTTGCGTGTCTCTCTCCCCGTGGTTGTGTGGATTTTTCTCCGGGTCCTCCGGTTTTTCCCTCCATATTTAGAACCAGCATGCGTTTCGAGTATTTGGCTGCTATAAATTTGCACGTGATAAGCCACTTCCGTTGAGCCATAATTTGTGGCAAGGTCGCTTCTGAAAAAAAAAGCTATGTAGCTCAGCGGACATTACCTGGTGAAATAAAAACCGCTAACGAGTTAGCTATAGACCGAGTCGGTGAACGTGGCGGCAGTGAATGAGTCAATGAGTGGCTGACATGGTGAATGATATTCTCAATTGAGATGGGCAAAGCGGTGATTTAATCGAGTTAAATGACAAATGAGATGGCAAATGCGTGTGAAAATGGCAGAGTGAAGTAAATCAATGAAATGGCGAGTGCATGAGCTGCTCGAAGTGATCAAAAGAGTGAATGGGATAAATGAGTAGATGAATGCGCGAGTTATTATTGCACATATGAAATGGAGAATGATTTGGCAAGTGAGTTGATGCAATGAAAAATGAGTGAATAAGGTGGCGAGTGCATGCATGGGTGAATGAATGAGATGCTGAATGAGCTGGTGAGTGAGCAAGTGAATGAATAAGCTGGTGAGTCCAATGAATGAGCTGGTGAGTGGGTAAGCAAGTGAGTGAATAAATTATTTGGTGAGTTAATGAATGAATGAGTTGGTGAGTAGGTGAGCGAGTGCTCTGCCCACCGTGAGAAGCTCCTCCCGGCAGAGCCTCCGTCTTGGGCTCGTAGTCAGCCGGGAGAGGCCGCAGGGACACGTGCGTGTACATGCTCCTGTTAGACCTGCGCAGAGAGCACACGCACGGCGTATACACACAAAGATCTCCTGCGAAGCCGAAACAGAACGTTGGGGCAAGCGCTGTTAGCGAGCACCTATGAAAGCCAGATCGGCACACGAGGGGGTGGGTGGCCAGCACCACGCCCGGCCGCCTTTGCCTCCCCACTGGTGATGTTTACACATCGCACCAGGTACTAATTTTAGGCGGAGTTGACCTAGGGGAGGCCCATAACCGATTCAGTATATCGTCACTGGTGCTGGCCGTAAGCGGGAACCGCGCTTGGGTCGCTGGGTTCGTAAAACAGTGTGTGCTAATCACTGCACTACCATTCCCCACACACACACACATACCTACACACACACACATACCTACACACTCCTGCTGCGTACAAAGACAAAGACGGAGTTGACCTTCGTGGGGTCCGGTGAGCAATTCAGTGATTGTTTGGACAAGCGAGCGAATGAGTGGGTGGGCGGGCGAGTGAGTGTGTGGGCGAGTTGACGCGCGAGTGGGTGGACAAGCGAGAGCTTAGGAGCGTGGGTGGGAAGTGAGTGGGCGGATGAGTGTGTCAACTCACCACAGGTAGATTCCGAGGTGGTCGCTCAGGGCTGTGGCCAGGTAGTCGCCCGTGGGCGACATGGAGAGGCTCACGACGGGCGAGGAGACGGCGAGCACGTCCACCAGGCTGACCGCGACCACCACCGCCACATCCACCATTAGTACCACAGCAATACCACCACATAGTGCATGTGTGTACACTGTGTAGAGTGTGTGTGTGTGTGTTTATAGTGAGCATGTGTGTGTAGTGAGCTTGTGTGTATAATGAGTGTGTGGTTTGGTATGCATATATAGCGAGAGTACTAGTGGCCAAGTGCGTGTACATAGCGAGTGTGATTAACACAGTTGCTACGTACGGTGCGAAAAAAGTTAAACATGCATGCAGAGTGTGTGGTGTGGCACGTGTATGTGGTAATGTAGCGATTAGCACACTAATATCTAAACCTGTCCTGGGCATCCTCTATGTTGACTCAGCCTTAAATGAGTACACGGTGCAGTGTGTAAACATCAGCACTACCCACCTCTTTGTGCAGTTCTGGCCTTCATAGGTGCTGGCTAAACGTACTTAACCAAACAGTCTGTTAAGGCTATATGGAGGAACTTTTCTTTTTGTACACAGCGTGTGTGTTTAGTGTCGTGGATGTACCAGCCCGAAGGCAGGTCCCAGGTCCGCACGCTGCGATCCATGGAGGCCGTGAGGAGCCAGCGTCCGTCCGGGCTGAACGTCTAAGATGCACGGAGACACGGCGTTACACAGACGTGCAGTCAGACATATACAGCGATAGACAGGACACAGACATGCAGATGCGCACACGGAGACATGCCGACACAGATATACTTGTGGATACACACACACACACATAAACACAAAAATACCTACAGCTATGTACACATGGATACACACATTTAATATATTCACCCATGAGGTGACAAACCCAGACAGCCAGACTGATCACACAAAGCCAGAGAGAAAAATAAATGTACACATACAAAGAAACACACTTGTGGAGGTGTGTGGGTGAGGTGTGGGGGCGAGGGTGTAGTGACGTGTGGCGAGGGGTGGAGATCCTCACCGCGTCTGTGATCTGGGCGCCGTGTCCGTTCAAAACCCTGACGATCTTCTTTATCTCCACGTCAAACACGAGCACGGAGAGGTCGTCGCACCAGACGGCGAGCAGACCACTACGCACCGACACCACCACCAACGACATCATTAACACCACCAAAAACAATATCAGCAGCACCAACATCAACACTACCACCAACATCGACACTTCAACCACCTCCGATGAGGCATGGCTGGCTACGTATGGTGCGAAATAAGTTCAACATTCATACAACCATCACCTACAACTCCTTCAATACCTCAATAGCTATTCACCACCACCGATAACATCGTTCACATCACCAACAGTACTATCATTATCATCAATACCATCAAAAACACCATAGCTATTCAATGCCACCACCTACAGGACTACGCATCATGACCTACAACACAATCGCATATACCACAAAACTCCATCACCTTCGATACACCCAAAACCAGCAACAGTCATTGCTATCACCACCAAAGACAACTGTAAGAGTTATCTTCTCCGAGTGTCTAAGAACCCCAGCCCCCCGTTACTCCCACAGAGATGAGCGCTGCTGCTCCGTTGTCCATTTGTTTAATTGGCCCCCTGCGAGAGACTGTCCACTTCACGGGAACGTGGAATTTCCACCACTGGCCTCACAGCCACCGGGTGTTGTCACCCACTGGTGCCCGTCTGAGCCGAGAGACGGTGGCTCCGGTCATCGACTCGGCCGCGATGGTGAATTCCCATGAGCCCCTCTCCTAATGCAAACAAGGCCTTCCACCCCCTCCCCGCTGCCAGTGCCCTTCATGACCCTCCTCCTCCCTGCCACCTGCCGTCTCGTTCCTTCTTCATCTACCGCCTGTCAGCTTAAGAAGTCGCAAGGGGCCGAATTCACTCCCTTTAGCTTCATTGCTTCAGTCACACTCGCACCCTTTAGTTCCAACGTCGTCCTTTATCCTTCGAATCAAGTCTCATTCCTCGTCTCCCTCTGATTATTTTTCCTTGTACTCCGCAACGGACATAGCGAGGGTTGTGGGGGCTCACGGCTGTATTCACTCGCAAGACAACATCCGGTCATCGACATCCAAGCAATTTTCGTCGTTCGTCTGAACTACATTTTCTGAACGAGCGTTGCCTTTCGTCTGAAACCCTACCTCTCGTTTCCTACGGTTTCGAGACATGACCTACAACCTCGCTCGCGCGCCGGGATTTCGGGTTGCACCCCGCGTGCTATTTGGCACGATGTCCGACGTTTCTCTTCACGTGCTGGGGGCAGCCTCTTCGGGAAGTTGGCTCCCTGCTCCCTGCCTCAACCGGCTCGTCTCTCTCGCGGTCCGCACCACCCCGGGTGGTCACCTGTCGCGGTGCAGGATGGCGCCGCCCGGCGCGGCGGGGAGAAGGGTCTCGTGGAGGAGCGCGCGGGACTTGAAACCCCAGACCCGCAGTGCCAAGTCCCCCCCGACCGACACGGCCATCTGACCCAGAAGGTCGAGGGCGACGGCTCGCACGGGGCCCCCGTGAGCTGCTCGTTGTCACGACGGGATAGGGCGGAGAGATCGCGAGGTCAGGTCAGGTGAGTTGAGCGCTGCGACCAGTGGCGGGATGTGGTTGGCATCGGCACAGGCGTAAGGCGTTAAAAATGGGTGGCCCGGTCCAGTTGACACCACCCCGACCCCCTCTCTGTAGGCCGACGCCTGGGCCGCTGGCCACTGTAACAAGGCCATTTTAAGGTCGTGACATGCTCAGCCTTACCCCTTCCTATGCGTGGGCTGACCCGGGGGCGTGGGAGGGTTGTGGCGTTACCCGTGGGCGAGCCGAACGAGCCGCGCGGCAGGCCCGACTGCAGGTTGTAGACGTTGACGTGGCCGGAGGAGAGGCCGATGATCGCAAAGTTTCCGCAGGGAGAGACAGTCACCGCCTGCAACCAATGCCGGCGTGGTGAGCATCAACGCTCCTCTTTGGAATTTCTGCGTTCTCGTCAATCGTGCGCACTTGATAGGCATTTAGTCTTTCCTCCCTATTCCATTTTCTCCATCTTGCACCGTAATTGTTCTGCGTGTGGTGTGCAATGGTGCGGTACAGCGCGATGCATTGTGATGGCCCAGTACCGCCGGTAAAGTGGGGTGCGGTGCGGTGCGGTATGGAGGGCGTCGCACCGTAGCGGTGGTGGGGTCCGTGCGGTCGCGTTTCATGCCCTCCGGCTCCAGTCGGTGGCTCCCCATGGATCCGCGCAGGAAGCTCCACGTGCTCACGCTCACGAAGCCTCGGTGGCACGACACGATGCCGTCCCAGTCGCTCTGGCGTGCCGTCTCTGACGGGTGCGTAGGAGGGTGGGGGAGGTGGGGGAGGGGGGTGGGACACAGGGAGACGTGACGACAGGGCAATGCAGGGGACCAACAGGGGAAGACGCGTGACACCCAGCAACAAGTGCGGACACACCGGGGGGGGCGCACACGGGGTCCATGATGAGAGGACGCGGTGACGGGCAGGCGCGCACTATGCATGGGTACGCGTGGATGGGTAAGATTCCGCAGACACGTCGGGGATATGCAGGGACGCGTGCGGATACGGAGACTTGGCTACAAGTGGGTGAAATGCGGAAGATACACGAGCACGGGAAAACGAGACACACACACGAGGAGACAGAGGGACGTACGGGAACACATGGGGACACACAAGTAGACACAAAGGGACATGCACGGGCACAGAGGGATACAGGGGGAGCACTTGGGGATATGCGGGGGACACGCAGAAGCTCGCATTATCTTCAGGATCATCATCACCACCGGTGTCATCCGAGACGTAATCAACAGCACCATAATCATATTAAGAACCAACATGATCGGCATTATATCACCATACTCGTCCTCAACTTGTCATCGTTATCATCACCATCGTCATCGCTCGTCGTTAGATGACACAAACACTCAACTCCATCTCACGCATGTGCCATCGCCCACAGACCTGATGCGAAGGCGCAGATGGGTGGCAGCTTCATCGTGTCCAGCTTGAGCCCTTTCTTTTTTGACTTCTTCTTGTTGATGGAGCCTTCACGTGTCACGCGGCACGCGTGGGAAGTGTTGGGAGAAGCAGAGGCACATGCACACACACGCATTGCAGATTGGTGAACGTAGGCGGGCCGATAATGGAGCGATGACGATGTTGGTAGTGATTATGGTGCTGTTGTTTATGTTCATAGCACACAAGGCAACATTGTTAGGGTTGCCGGAAACCATTCAGATGGTACCGTTGTCGTATTGATGGTAACGGGGGTCACATTCATTGTGTATATTGATGATGCTGGTTGTCACGTTGCTAGTGGCGAAGTTGATAGTCCTGTTGATGGCGTTGGTGATCACAGTGATAGTAATCACTGCACCTGAAATGAGTTAAATGATGATGTCACCCTGCTGCTCTGTTTAAGACCGAGAGCAAGCGAGTGCTTTACCATTCTGGCAAATCGCCCGATGATGCTGGATGCAATTACCAGCGAAACGTCGTATTCAAACTGTAAATGTTGTGGATTCACTCTTCAACACACTGGTGGGCTAAAGTCGTTAACTATTTGTCTTTTGTCAACGTGACACTTTATTTTGCTGATTGGCCGTGTCGGGTGGTGGAGGGTTACGACACATTTATAATTAACGCGATCTAACCCAAAAACCTTTATTATGGACGATGTGTACGTCCGTGGTGCTGATGGTGATCAAGATGGTGATGATGGAGATTCGTACTTGTCATGGTCACTAAAACGATCGAAATTACTACAAGCACCGTTAACGCAACCACCACCATCACCATAAACTCCAGGAACATTGGTGTGGCCACGGGTACTCTGAACATGACAACCAACTCGAGCAACTTCACCAACAGCACCACGAACCGATACCGTCACGGTAGTAATGACGGTGGCGATGGTAATGGTGCCGATGGAGCTATTGACGGTGATTTGTGGTTGTGTTCATGTCGATGAGGCCACTTGGACTCCTGGTGCAGTCATTACCGCGGCCCAGGCTTTTGTTGAATCGGTCGTGGACCACAGAGAAGGACTGCAGCGTCCCGTCCTGTCCTGTGCAGGCACGCATGCGGGGGACACGTCGTGGACAAGCACGGTCAGACACACAAGAGGTACGGACAGACAGACTTGGATACAGACAGACACTGAGAGACAGAAGCAGGGACGAACATGGTTAAGACTCGGAGATACGGACAAAAAAAACGGTGAGACGCACAGAGAAACGGACGCAGTGAGAACGCGGTGATATGTGCAGACACAGACTGGCTGTCTGCTTATCTATTTGTTTTAACACGTAGACTTTGGCGACCAATATCATCCATAATACAGGTTTTTTTGGGTAAATATATAAATGTGTCATTGTTAAACCCACCACCACCCGACACAGCCAATTAGTAAGGTGTCACGTAAACAGAACATGCCAATTCGTTACTAGTACAGCAACACCGGTGTGTTGGAGAGTAAAGCCACAACATTTACAATCTGAGTATGATGTTTTGCCAGTAATTACAATCCTCCTGTTTCGTTCCTTAAATAGAGGGGTAGATGTGATGACAATTGGGGGGGGGGATTAATGAATGCATATCAATGACTATGGGTATCCATTGCCGTTGGGTTATGTATATGGTAATCAACATACATAGTGCGGCCTGGAAGCGTAGACACACAAGCCGTTGGGTTATGTATATGGTAATCAACATACATAGTGCGGCCTGGAAGCGTATTATTAAATAATACATATTACAATTCCTTATAGGGGAAACACATACTAATTAACGGATTACTAACATAGCCTATAATCACTAACACACATTACAACTAATTACTAATCTACAACTCATTACTAATCATAACCATTGACTGATTACTAATCGATTATATAATTACAATACCCCCCCCACCTCTGCCTCAAATCACTGCACCTGAAATGAGTTAAATGATGACGTCACCCTGCTGCTCTATTTAAGACCGGGAGCAAGTGAGGGCTTTACCATTCTGGCGAATTGCCCGATGATGCTGGATGAAATTACCAGCGAAACGTCGTACTCAAACTGTAAATGTTGTGGATTCACTCTTCAACACACCGGTGGGCTAAAGTCGTGAACTATTTGTCTTTTGTCAACGTGACACTTTTTTTTGCTGATTGGCCGTGTCGGGTGGTGGAGGGTTACGACACATTTATAAATAACGCGATCTAACCCAAAAACCTTTATTATGAATTATATGCATGCCCATTAAGTACGGCCATTGTTCTTGTACTTCCTGTCGATTGCGTGCACTAAAATAGCCGTACCAACGGTAACCCCTATTGAAGCATGGTGACCTGTTTAACGACATTTATATATTTACGCGATGTGACCCAAAAAAAACCCCTGTATTACTGACGCTCATCCATTTGCGTCAACGTCTCGCTGTCCCCCCGGCTGTCCGGCCGAGCGAGCCTCTCTCACCGGCGCTCAGGATGTTGAAGCCATCCTGGCCGTGGTGACGGATGCTCGTCGGCGGGGCGCTGTGCCCGCAGCGTTCACGCAGCAGCCTGGGGCTGCCCCCGGCCGACTCGAACACCCACACCTGGGGGAAGCAAAGGGAGGCCGCCATGAGGGGGCATGGGAAGGTGTAGGACACACTGGAAAGGCGTTGGGAGGGGGGGGGTGGGGATGAGGGAATGCACGGGATACTCAGGAAAGAGTGGGGGAGAGGCGAGGCAAGACAAAGTGGGGCAGTGGCAGAGAGATACAGGGAGGCATGTGACACACCCCGAGGCAAAAGGAAGCAATGAGGACGACAAGGAAGGAGAGCACGGAACACAAGGGCACAGATATGGAGAATCAGGTACACAGGGAGAGGAGGTTCAGGGACAACCACGGATATACGAGAAGGCAGAAGAGAAGACTCGGCATAAGAAGGCACCGTGGGGACACATTGGGGAATAACGGATGCTTGAAGACGCGCAGAGAGACACGCGGAAAGACCGAGGCACGAGAGGAGGCGCGGGGAATGCACGGAGGCAGCGTCCTGGAGCGACGGGGAACCGTGACCGCACCTTGATGGCGTTATCCCCGGCCGTCGTGAGGAGCAGCGGCTCGTTGTGGATGAAGGTCGCCCCGGCAACGGCGGCCGCGTGCGTGTCCCGCATCTGTGCCAACAGCTTCCTGTCGTGCAGGTCCCACAGTGCAATGTGGCCCAGGGAGCTCCCTGTGGCCATTACGGCCGGACCGTCTGCGGCAAAGGACCCGCGGATACGGACGAACGTTGCGTTACGACACGCCCATAAAGGCACGAACCGGTGAGCATCGCACTGCAAGCGGGGGGCTTAAACCACAGAGACACAGCAGTCAGGTCTCTCTCGTAACTATCATTAACCTCGGTTGAAGACATCCACTCAACTTCCCCCCGAGGCCGTGCTGCGGCTATCAGACCTGCACATGGACTTACGAGTTGCCATGCACAGACATGCGCGAGAAGAAGTGGGGGGGGGGGGGGGGGGGACACACATCTCGAATTCCCCAACATGACTCCCGAGCGGCCATGCAGGGCACGGGGCGCTCCCACCTGTGCGGAAAGATATGCAGGTGACAGGGCCCCAGTCCTGGTGGAATTTCATGAGCGTCTCGTCGACCTTGATATTGTGCAGGAACACGGAGCCGGACTGGAGGCCCACACCGACAACATCCACCGCTGGGGCCTGAGGGGAGGTGACGCGAGTGAGCGAATGAGCAAATCGTGGTGCAGTCATATACTTTATTATTTTTATATCACTACCAGACAGCAACCAACCAACCAACCACCAAACAGAACGATTAACTACAACCATCAGACAGCCACTAATTACAGGAACCCACCACTATGGCCAAAGGCTCGACAGACACATTTAATCACAGCATACAACCACAACCACCAACCAAAGCCAACAACAACGACCAGTCACTGGCAAGCTAGGTGCGATCATCAATGCACTAGGCTTGAAAGCTTCTTGTAATCAGCAGGGAGCTGAAACCACAATTTAAACCCCGGTTTTAAGTGGCGACAGCTCACAGCTTAAGACGCAGCCATTATGAACTCCTGGACAAATGCACAGCCACCTTAGAGAATGTGGTATATCAGGCTAAATATTGGCACTTTCAGTCGGAAAGCCCCATCAAGCCTTAAGACTTAATTTTTTCAGGCGGGTCCTGCATTGGGATTTGAAGTGAAATTATTACCTCCCCTCTCCAACCCCCCTTCCCCATGGCGATTAGATGAATTGTCACAAATCAATTGATTTGTTATTTTTTTGTTTAACATTGTGGCGTATGTAGCAGCCTCTTGCGGCCACATGAGAGACGTGAACATATTACATATACAAATTGAAAAAACAAATTCCTACACGAGCGATTCAATGTGTGTGCCGCGAGCATAACAATTGACACCGATTTATTATGGCCCGAATTGGGATGTCGGGATGTTTGGCCAGCTCCAGAAATTAGTGTTGTGCACATGGTGTGTGTGTGTGCGTGCGTGTCTATATGTGGGGAAAGGCAGTGCAGCAGTTAGTGCACTACGAACCCGGCGACCCCAGTTCGTTTCCTGCTCATGGCCAGCACCAGTGCCAATATACCGAATCGGTTATGGGCCTCTCCTAGGTCGCCTCAGTCTTAAATGAGTACCTGGTGCGGTGTGTAAACATCATCACTGGGGAGACAAAGGCGGCCGGGCGTGGTGTTTGCCACTCACCCCCTCGTCTGCAGTGTTGGCCTTCATAGGTGCTCACTAACAGCACTTGCCCCAACAGTGTGTTAAGGCTATAAGGGGGATCTTTGTCTTTGTTCATACACAACACCTACCTGCTGCAGGCAAGTAACTTCTGAAGCCCATCCTTTGAATGTGAAGAGCAGCTTTCTGTTTGTTGTGTGGGGGGAGACATGGGTCGACGTGAATAGGGTAACAAACACAGACACACACATCGGGATACGGGAATGAACGTTTAAAGGTTTCACAATTCCACTGCGGCAACCACATAAAACGTGTATGTAAAACTCAGTTTTATATCGCGCTATTCACCCAAGGCCTGATAGCGCTTTGCAACACAATCGCAGTAAAAACCTTTAATATTAAAACCAAACAGGAACACAACCCTACACAGACGGATATGCAAGAGAAAAAAAACGCGTTTTCAGACGAGTTCTCAAAACCATGACGAAACATTCCGAGATTCAGTGGATAATCGGTACCACCTAGGGTGGCCCATGCTAACCATTATTTTATCAAACATTTTATATATCCATCACAGAAATGTATGACAGCGATTTAATTTACAAATCACCATTTAATTTGCATTATCAATATATATGTGCCGCCTGGTTCACAGTGGATTTGAAAGATTTCCATGGCGTTATATAAAAAAATAGTAGGCCATGTGTGTGTGCCAACGTCGTGGTTCAAATTCGATAAATTGGTGGCAAATTACTTGATTTAGGAAACCACGTGACAACAGCACTCCCTTCTGGCAGACTAATGCCCACTTGCTGGCCAGTGCCGCGTCCAACCCTGTGCTGCACAGGGACAGCTGCCATATGTGAAGTGACGATGGCACAGCGGACTCACCCAGTCTTGAGGTTCCACAGCTGCAGAGGGCCCTGCCGGGAGCCAAGCAGGACTTTGTTCATGTAGGTGCTGGGGTGCATGACGGCGCTGATTCCAAACACCTGGGGGTCGGGTTCCAGCCTCAGATACTCCTCTGGGAAACAACGGAGGGAAGCAGGGAGGGCGGCACGAGGCGATATATGATGTCAAGAGGGCAGGGGTCGCGGTGTGGCTAGTACACACGAAACGTGTCGCGCCCCTCCCGCGAAGTGATTAACTCTATTTAACAACAGAGATCTGAACTGCATGTGCAGAAGCTCTCGGCCTTATGCAGCCCACCAGCTCTAAAGTAACTGCTTGCGGTCTGCATAAAACTGTAAATGCAATGCACATCTTTGTGTGTTGCACAATGTTTTTGTGTTGCAGCCTGCACTATTTTTTTACAGATGTTAACTGATGTAATTATCAGTCACTATTGGCAGTCATGATTCCACCCCATTCATTAAATCCTTTTTTGTCAAGTATAGTAGGGACCGTCCATGTATGCTAGGTTGTCATAGGTGGGTTCAGGGCCGTGCTAAGTGATCATTAGCATACAGTAATGTGGTAAATCCATTCTTGTATTGCACATATATACTCTCCCGCCTTCACCAAATCACATCAACCAAAGTGGTGAAGTATGTGCAGTAACTCAGACGAGCCCCACGGCACGTCGAACTCTCATCCAGCAGTGGATTGTCAAAAGGGCCGTACGTGTATGGGTCAGAGTGCTGGCTTTTATGCCAAGAGTGTGGTGCTGGTCACACTGTTACTTTGCGTGGATTGAAACACAAAGATTCCCCATATAGCCTTCAACAGGCTGTTGAGGCCAGTGCTGTTAGCCAGCGCCTATGAAGGCAGGCACGGTACATGAGGGGGTGGGTGGCTAACACCATGTCCACCTGCCTTGGTCTCCCCAGTGCTGATATTTAGACACTGGACCAGGTACTTACTTAAGGCTGAGTCCACCTAGGGGGGGCCCCAGGACCGATTCAGATAATCATCACTGGTGGCGGCCTTGAGCGGGAATTGAACTCGGGTGGACTTGGTTTATAGCGCAGCACGCTAACCACTAAGCTACAACCAACACGAGCCCTCACACATTCACACGCAAACGACAGCACAAAAATCCACGTGCACACAGATTCAACATGCCAGACGCGCTCACCTTCCGTCTGAACGTCCCACACCACGAGGATGTTGTCTCTGTCCACGGACACCAGATGGTCTCCCAACGGCAGGAGGAGGTGGACTTCTCCCGAGTGCCCGTCGTAGGTGTGCACCACCTGCTCGATGGGGGGGGGGGGGGCGCACGGACACACGAACACGCAGCGTCCGTTCAGGCGACGGGCAAGTGTCCTCCTCCGCCCACCGCACCTCAAAACTAGGGTTGCTCAAAATCATTTTATTGGAGCTATCGATAATTGCATGCAAACAAAAATATATTCAAATTGATTATCGGTTTTGCCACACATTAAAATTATGCATCACCGATCTTTGGGTTAGACCGTGGAATAATCTGTCTACATTTATTCCAGCAGACACCCTACCACCCGATATAGCCAAACAAATTATACTGTCGCGTTCGCAAGCGTTTAATGCGCCAATTACGATTGCTTCAGCTCTTCGGTAAGTTGAAGAACAATTTTCACAACCAATTTTTTTAATTAGATACTTTCATCTAATGACTGAAACTCATCGGTGAGCTGAAACAATGACTGGTGCATTGTTAAACGCTTGTAACGCACATGACCATTTAATTTCTGAATCATTATCTGCGAAAATCTACATATCAACACGTCCAATGTCTAACAGCCGTACGCGTGTGCTGGAACGTGCCACGTGGTGATTTTTTTCAAGTTAATTTAAAGAGTAGAGTAAACACCGAGGTGTACGCAAAACAATGCATGAAACACGACTAAAATAACACTAAGGTTATGGGAATGTATGAGCCGACATCAGTATGTTCTCGCTGGTTGTAGGCGAGAAGTACAAATCACAAGAAAGGGAGACGCGGGCAAATCACATCTGGTAACGCGGGGTGGCTCCCTTCGGCATCCACTTGCCCACACTGCGATGCTGCACACCCACCTCTTTCCCGCGAGCGATGGTAGCGATCTTGCTTCCGTACGCCGCAAATGCCAACATGCGGTTCGCTGCGAGGCAGCTGATGTCCTCCGGGAGGGCATTGCCTGTGAGAGGAATGGTGAAGTTGCAGTGAAGTCGCTTGTAACAACAATTACCTCCTCTCGGGGAAAGCCTTGCTCAAAAGCAAAGTACTTTGTTTTCAGAAGGGTCCTGATGCACTGGGAATTTCTGGACAATTCCAAAGACGGGTAACAATATATATAACCTGTATATCGCCACATACTAAGATAAATGACTTAGTCTATCGGCCTCTTGCCTTTGAGAAGGGCCCTGTGTTGGGATGTTTGTGCCACTTCCATTAATGAGTGTTTGACTTCGTGTGGGAGGAAACCGGAAAACACCCACCACGCATATCAGGGGAAGACACTGAGTATTGCCATCCATTGCCACATTAGTGTCATGCCTACAACACGTGGAAAGTCTTGCTGTTTACCCATCCAAGTAATAACCAGGCCCGACCATGCATAGCTTTCCAAGATCTGACGCGATTCGCCGCACTTGGAAGCTACAGAGAGTAACACAACATCAATACTGCCTGTTTGTAATGCTGGTCTCACCTGTGATGTATGATGCCCTTCACAGCAATGTATTGATTAGGAATGAATTATAAATAATCTATACACTTGAAACATTAATGACAAGAGGTAGGGCAATATCGGAGAGGTCCGCGCACTGCGCTTTGAACACAATAACCCGAGTATGATTCCCGACCAGAGCTAATGTTAGGGTGGGGAATATCTGGACCAGTACTGTACACCCCCTTTCACCAACTCACACTGTCCAGTGCGGTGAAGTATGGTCAAAGATCTACGGCCGACACAGTGTTGGGAGGCCTTCACCCAGCACTGTATTGACAAAGGGTTATCATTTTTAGATTTTAGTATATACTCTATAGACTTGCAATATGGCCGGGCATGCACTGCTGCATAAATATTGATTCTTACGCTCACAATGCATGAATCAAATTATCTGTGTGAGAATGAACTAAGCCTGTGCTGGACCTCTCCAAGGTCGACTCGGCCTTAACCGGGTAACTTCGAGCGGTTTGTGTGTGTGTAAATATCATCACTGGGGACATAACTGTGGGCGAATATGGTGCTGGCCATACCATCCTCTCTTGCGCCACATTTAGAAACGTAGATAATTTTGGGGCTATAGATTTCCACATAAGCTACTTCGTTGAGTTATAATTTGTGGTAAGGTTTCTGAAAAAAAAAGTACAGTGGCCATTACCTGGAAAGAAAACGAATTAAAAAAATATATATTTGTACATACTTTAAAAGTGCTTTGTTTACCTTTCATATAATTTCCAGTCCTATCGTGTTTTGTATTGTTTGTTGTTGTGACATTCTGACCTGTCCCTACTGGACAATTGTGAAACAGCGCTTCATAGCTCATAGGATTCCTCCAGAATAAATAAATATTATGATTGTGAACAAGCACCTGCTCACAGCACTTGCTCCACCAATTTGAATGTCTCAAAGGGGGACAATCTATGTATTTTTGAGTGTGTGTGTATGTGTCCGTACGCACGCATGTGCATCACTCACTGATGGAGACAATTGCAAGCTTGTTAACCTGTGGAACACACACAAGATGTGGTCAGTCATTCATTCAGAATCTGAATATTTATTAATACTGGAGTAATCCAATGAGCTATAAAGCTCTTTTCACGGATGTCCAGTATTTGTACAAGCACAAAGTATTTGTACAAGCACAAATAAGCACAAAATAAACATATTCGTCCATAACACTGCCTTCAAAAGCATATAATAGGCGACGTTTTGGGCAATGGGCCTTTTGCAGAGCACACCTCTCTCATTCTCTGGCCTGCCAGATGCTCAGAGTCAAAGGCGTAGACGGGTCATACTAAGTTCGACGCAAGACTATACGATACATAACTCAAATTAATAATTCGCGTCGTTGTGGAGAACGCAACGACATAATTAAGCAGACCAAAATACTGTAAAGGTGAATTATTACTATGCTGTACAAATGTAAATATTGGCTGTCTATAGGATGCGAATCTGCGTGTATTCCCCACGGCGTGTGCACGCCGTGGTTGGCAAGTACTGCCTGGACAGTCGCAGTGGCGAACACCTGAATGGATGTGGGTGAGTGTATCAAGGTAGTAATTATAATATATTGGGGGGGGGACAGATCCCTCTCTCCCCCCCCCCCCCCCCAATATTCAAATATGTTGAAAATGCCCCCCCCCCCCAATATATTGCTATAAAAATTGCTATGCTATGTAAAATAAAAACAACAATGTGCTAAACCTTGGCCACAATATCTTGGACTTAGTCTTCATATAAATCAATGCACAGATTTCTGTTTATACGATTGTGGTTATGGTTGTACTTTATTAATCCCTAATCTCTGCCATTACATACAATGAAACAAGAAATGTACAAAAAATAAAAAAAGAGCAATGTAATACAATACACTACTAGACATTAAGTCCATCCCACGTGTTAGTGATTTAAAAAAAAATATTTTAGGCAGGAAATGAGTTTTCAAATTTAGATTTTTTTCTTCGCCGCATTAACAGCGGCGAATGTGTGGACCGGTCCCATGCCTCGCCAAGGACGACTGAGCCTCAACTGAGTGGCCTGCCGCGGTGTGTTACACACAACCAATGGGGAGACAGCAATTGGCCCAACAGTCTGTTTAAGGCGATATAGGGGGATCTCACGTTGCACGTGGGTATGTAGCAACGTTTATAACTCTGTGTAACTGTGTATAACTGTGTGTGACTGTGTGTAACTGTGTATAACTGTGTGATACTGTGTATAACTGTGTGACTGTGTGTAACTGTGTGTGACTGTGTGTAACTGTGTAACTGTGTATAACTGTGTGTAACTGTGTATAACTGTGTGACTGTGTGTAACTGTGTAACTGTGTGTAACTGTGTGTAACTCTGTATAACTGTGTGTGACTGTGTATAACTGTGTGTAACTGTGTGTAACTCTGTATAACTGTGTGTAACTGTGTGTGACTGTGTGTAACTCTGTATAACTGTGTGTAACTGTGTATAACTGTGTGTAAATGTGTATAACTGTGTATAACTGCGTGTGACTGTGTGTAACTGTGTATGACTGTGTATAACTGTGTATGACTGTGTGTAACTGTGTGTGACTGTGTAAACTGTGTGTAACTGTGTATAACTGTGTGTAACTCTGTGTAACTGTGTATAACTGTGTGTGACTGTGTGTGACTGTGTATAACTGTGTGTGACTGTGTGTAACTGTGTATGACTGTGTGTAACTGTATAACTGTATGTAACTGTGTATGACTGTGTATAACTGTGTGTAACTGTGTATAACTGTGTGACTGTGTGTAACTGTGTGACTGTGTGTGACTGTGTATAACTGCGTGTAACTGTGTGACTGTGTGTAACTCTGTATAACTGTGTGTAACTGTGTGACTGTGTGTAACTGTGTATAACTGTGTGTAACTGTGTGTGACTCTGTATAACTGTGTGTAACTGTGTGACTGTGTATAACTGTGTGTAACTGTGTGTAACTGTGTATAACTGTGTGTGACTCTGTATAACTGTGTGTAACTGTGTGTGACTGTGTGTAACTCTGTATAACTGTGTGTAACTGTGTATAACTGTGTGTAACTGTGTATAACTGTGTATAACTGCGTGTGACTGTGTAACTGTGTATGACTGTGTGTAACTGTGTATAACTGTGTGTAACTGTGTGTAACTCTGTGTGTAAGTGTGTGTAACTGTGTATAACTGTGTGTAACTGTGTGACTGTATAACTGTGTGTAAGTGTGTATAACTGTGTGTAACTGTGTGTAACTGTGTGTGATTGTGTGTGACTGTGTATAACTGTGTGTAACTGTGTGACTGTGTGTGACTGTGTAACTCTGTGTGTAAGTGTGTGTAACTCTGTGTGTAAGTGTGTGTAACTCTGTGTGTAAGTGTGTGTAACTCTGTGTGTAAGTGTGTGTAACTCTGTGTGTAAGTGTGTGTAACTCTGTGTGTAAGTGTGTGTAACTCTGTGTGTAACTCTGTGTGTAACTCTGTGTGTAAGTGTGTGTAACTCTGTGTGTAAGTGTGTGTAACTCTGTGTGTAAGTGTGTGTAACTCTGTGTGTAAGTGTGTGTAACTCTGTGTGTAAGTGTGTGTAACTCTGTGTGTAAGTGTGTGTAACTCTGTGTGTAAGTGTGTGTAACTCTGTGTGTAACTCTGTGTGTAACTCTGTGTGTAAGTGTGTGTAACTCTGTGTGTAAGTGTGTGTAACTCTGTGTGTAAGTGTGTGTAACTCTGTGTGTAAGTGTGTGTAACTCTGTGTGTAAGTGTGTGTAACTCTGTGTGTAAGTGTGTGTAACTCTGTGTGTAAGTGTGTGTAACTCTGTGTGTAACTGTGTGTGTAACTCTGTGTGTAAGTGTGTGTAACTCTGTGTGTAAGTGTGTGTAACTCTGTGTGTAACTCTGTGTGTAACTCTGTGTGTAACTGTGTGTGTAACGTGGGGCATCTCACGCTGTACGAGTGCAGCCGGGGCCCCACAGCGGTGAGCACGTACGCCTGCTGGTGCCGCCTATGAACACGCACCACGTGCGGCACGGGCCCAGTGAACAAGCCGAGCGCGCGGAACCCCTCGAACACGCGCGACATCGCTCCCCAACAACAACAACCACCACCAACCACCACCCACGCAACAAACAACTAACTAGCAATTATCAACTATCTGTCAATTAACAAATGAGCTATAGGCCCTGGGCCGGCTCGTGACCACGTGCGCGGCCTCGGAGCAGTCGTAGCCACCAGCACGCAACGGGCGAGAGATCGGAGAGGGCCTGGATTAGCCGTGACGTCAAAACGCCACGTGAAAACCCTCGGTGACGTCACGACAATGTGGGGGGGGGAAGGCCCCCCCCGAGCTGGATCTGGAAAGATGACGTCACGTCGATGTAACAACGTTCATCGCTGCAGAAGACGTCGTATTGATGGCACAACCTCGACGGCTGCAGATGACGTCATGTTGATGGAACTAAGTCGATGGCTGCAGGTGACGTCATATTGGTGCAGCTACCTCGATGGCTGCACATGACGTCATGCTGATGGAACTACCTCGATCGCTGCTGATGACGTCATATCGATGGAACTACCTAGACTGCTGACGATGACGCCATGCTGACGGAACTGGATTTGATCCCTCGGCATGACTTTCATGCGAATGGGACCGGCTTGAACACCTCGCAAGATCTGTGAAAACGGCTGGACATCTGTGAATAAAAATGCTCCATAGCTCATCGGATTCCCCCCAGCCGAGTTAGAGATTCTGATTCTGCGTCTCATCCCCATCGTGGAGGTTCGGATCGCTCTATTCCCAGTACTCCGAGGTCAAGGATCTTCTTTTCCCTGGGCTGATGGGGCTTTTTTGCCAGTGCGGCTCCCAAGCTTTGGATCGCCTTTTGTCGCTGCCAATAAGACAATCAGAATCGCGAAAGTTAAAAGTCTTAAAAACTCACATCTTAAAACTGCCCTTTACCCCCCAGTTCTGGCCGTTCTCACAGGTTCTGTGTATTCCATGCTTCACCATGCAAAGCGCATTGGGATCTACGGATGCAATGCGCGCCACCAATGTAAATTATTAGTGTTCAAACAACCAGCATGCATACATGACAACCTCCCTATCATTGCCTACATTATTACAGACCAATTCAGACCTTATTGGTCACCCCGTACCCTTATTAATTTCAACGCTCATCCTACAAAGTCCCATCGCAGGGGAGAAACACAGACAAATAGACAAAACACTTTTTTTTGCCCGTATTGAAACGTCTGTACGCCGTGTGGAACTGAAAACTCAATTTCCCTGCACAAGAATACGGATAACTGGATGGGTTGACAGATATGAGCATGATCCACACGGCGTGGGGAGAGCTTCATCCAGCAATGGACTAAGAGCGGTACTTTACCAGGGGCAGAGCCAGGATTTTGACTTTGGGGGGGCTGACTTCAATATTCTGAGATATCCAGTGTGTATGTTTTCCAATGGGCGATACAAATGTATAAAACACATTTTATTGGATTTGAACGCGGAGTTTATTAATAGGTCGGAGCCGCTGATGTGGCTAATAAGTTCGATAAGTTCAAAAGGCTGCCGCTCAAGCATCCTGCAGGGCAGCACAAGGTGGCAGCCTGCAGGGCAGCACACAAGGTGGCAGCCTGCAGGGCAGCACAAGGTGGCAGCCTGCAGGGCAGCACAAGGTTGGAGCCTGCAGGGCAGCACAAGGTGGCAGCCTGCAGGGCAGCACAAGGTGGCAGCCTGCAGGGCAGCACAAGGTTGGAGCCTGCAGGGCAGCACAAGGTGGCAGCCTGCAGGGCAGCACAAGGTGGCAGCCTGCAGGGCAGCACAAGGTTGGAGCCTGCAGGGCAGCACAAGGTGGCAGCACGAGGTGGCAGCCTGCAGGGTAGCACAAGGTGGCAGCCTGCAGGGCAGCACGAGGTGACAGCCTGCAGGGCAGCACAAGGTAGCAGCCTGCAGGGCAGCACAAGGTGGCAGCCTGCAGGGCAGCACACAAGGTGGCAGCACACAAGGTGGCAGCCTGCAGGGCAGCACAAGGTGGCAGCCTGCAGCATTTTGCAGCAGCCGGATATCCGGTTATCCCAAAATTTCAGGGGGGGCTGAGCCCCCCCCCCAGCCCCCCCCTGTGGCTCCGCCCCTGTACTTTACGATTATGCAAACTTGAATTAAGTGAGTTTAACATGTAGGAGGCTTTCGCGAGCAATATCATCCATAATAGAGGTTTTTTTGGGTTAGATCGTGTAAATATATAAATGCGTCGTTAAACCCGCCACCACCCGACACAGCCAACTAGTAAGGGTTGTCACGTGAACAGAACGTGGTCAATTCGTCACTACTACATGAACACCGGTGTGTTGGAGAGCCAAGCCACAACATTTACAATCTGAGTACGACGTTTCGCCAATAATTACAACTTAGCTTCATCAGGCGACAGCTGTACTAGTAACGAATTGGCATGTTCTGTTTACGTGACAACCCTTACTAATTGGTTGTGTCGGGTGGTGGCGGGTTTAACGACACATTTATATATTTATGCGATCTAACCCAAATAAAACCCTGTTTTATGGATATAATTAAGTTCTAGAAGGGCTAAATAGCTGCTACTTGACACAAATATAATCGAGCCTATTGCTCACTTCATCTTGAACCGTCCTTTGCAGCCTTTCTTGTGAAGTTCAATCGCACCATGCAAGTTGACTCTCATTTACATTGGTTTCATGCTGCATCGTAACGAGACAAAGACTCGGTGCTGAATTCGCAGACAAGGACGTTCTGCGGAAGGAGACTTCACAGAACTGCTGCTCAAAACTCAAGTGACCTCTATGCCACACTAGGTGGCAGCACTTTCCTACCCGCCCTGCCAGACAGACAGAGAGAGAGAGAGAGGGAGAGATGTTCTTCGCATTACAGTTAAATCCGAAAGGGTTCAAAGAGCAAAAAAAAACCCGTCAATTTAGCACGATAGTTTGTTTGCGCAGTCATTGCTACCCAAGCTGAAAGACCATCAACTCGTCACACTTGACAACGTCGTTTACACAGGCGAACGTTCCAGGCAATGGCCCTCCTCCAAAGCACACGGAGTTGCTCATGCTTGTACATCACTGCAACTGCAATGTCACCATAACATTATGAATACGCAAATTCGTCAACAACATTGCATTAAAAATAAAAAGTATATCATAGTGAATTGTAAATGTTGTGAGTTTACTCTACAGAACGCCAGCGTGCTGAAGTAGTAACGAATTGGCACGTTTTGTTTACACGACAAACCTTACTAATTGGCTGCGTCGGGTGGTGGTGAGTTAACGACACATTTATATTTACGCGATCTGACCTACATTTGTTTATTTATTGACGTGTTTATGAATAGGCAACGTGTCGGGCAATTGCCCTTATTCTTCAGAGTACACAGAGACGCCAGTGAGGTATTCACAGGCAGCTGCCAGGTTTCGAACCCAGCGTCTCTGAGTCAGGTGGCCACCCTCCGCCATCGATTGCTATAATAATGTTCATATCGTCATGTACTGCACCGTGGGTTCAACGAATAAAAAAAACAGTTTTAGATGGCCGCTAATGGATGTTAACTACCTCACCTGGTATGCAGGAGGTCGTGGGTTCGATCCCTTCCCTGTGGTCACGTGGATTTTTCTCCAGGTCCTCCGGTTTAGAGTATTTGGCTGATATACATTTTACACGTGAAACGCCACTTTGTTGAGCTATCATTTGTGGCCAGGTCGCTTCTAAAAAAGAGCTATATAGCTCAGCGGTCCTTATCTGGTAAAATACAAATTATGTGTATACCGAGGAAACTATTGAAGTCGGATTATGATGAAATGAATATAGGGAGGGAAAAAGTATTTGATCCCCTGCTGATTTTGTACGTTTGCCCACTGACAAAGAAATAATCAGTCTATAATTTTAATGGTAGGTTTATTTGAACAGTAAGAGACAGAATAACAACAAAAAAATCCAGAAAAACGCATGTCAAAATGTTATAAATTGGTTTGCATTTTAATGAGGGAAATAAGTATTTGACCCCCTCTCAATCCGAAAGATTTCTGGCTCCCAGATGTCTTTTATACAAGTAACGAGCTGCGATTAGGAGCACACTCTTAAAGGGAGTGCTCCTAATCTCAGCTTGTTACCTGTATAAAAGACACCTGTCCACAGAAGCAATCAATCAAACAAGGATGTCAGGGACAAGATTGTAGACCTACACAAGGCTGGAATGGGCTACAAGACCATTGCCAAGCAGCTTGGTGAGAAGGTGACAAAAGTTGGTACGATTATTCACAAATGGAAGAAACACTAACGAACTGTCAATCTCCCTCGGCCTGGGGCTCCATGCAACATCTCACCACGTGGAGTTGTAATGAAAATGAAAACGGTGAGGAATCAGCCCCTACCTACACGGGAGGATTTGTCAATGATCTCAAGGCAGCTGGAACCATAGTCACCAAGAAAACAATTGGTAACACATTACGCCGTGAAGGACTGAAATCCTGCAGCGCCCGCAAGGTCCCCCTGCTCAAGAAAGCACATATACATGCCCGTCTGAAGTTTGCCAATGAACATCTGAATGATTCAGAGGACAACTGGGTGAAAGTGTTGTGGTCAGATGAGACCAAAATGGAGCTCTTTGGCATCAACTCAACTCGCCGTGTTTGGAGGAGGAGGAATGCTGCCTATGACCCCAAGAACACCATCACCACCGTCAAACATGGAGGTGGAAACATTATGCTTTGGGGGTGTTTTTCTGCTAAGGGGACAGGGCAACTTCACCGCATCAAAGGGACGATGGACGGGGCCATGTACTGTCAAATCTTGGGTGAGAACCTCCTTCCCTCAGCCAGGGCATTGAAAATGGGTCGTGGATGGGTATTCTAGCATGACAATGACCCAAAACACACGGCCAAGGCAACAAAGGAGTGGCTCAAGAAGAAGCGCATTAAGGTCCTGGAGTGACCTAGCCAGTCTCCAGACCTTAATCCCATAGCAAGTCTGTGGAGGGAGCTGAAGGTTCGAGTTGCCAAACGTCAACCTCGAAAACTTAATTACTTGGAGAAGATCTGCAAAGAGGAGTGGGACAAAATTCCTCCTGAGATGTGTGCAAACCTGGTGGCCAACTACAAGAAACGTCTGACCTCTGTGATTGCCAACAAGGGTTTTGCCACCAAGTACTAAGTCATGTTTTTCAGAGGGGTCAATTACTTATTTCCCTCATTAAAATGCAAATCAATTCATAACATTTTTGACATGCGTTTTTCTGGATTTTTTTGTTGTTATTCTGTCTCTCACTGTTCAAATAAACCTACCATTAAAATTATAGACTGCTCATTTCTTTGTCAGTGG